CTCGATGAGCACCCCCTCTGCTGGGTTCAGAAGCCGGGTGCTCGACTTGCAGTGTTTATTTCAGTCGTCGATACATGTCCAGACGGTATGATAAGCCGGGTTTTGGCTTCATACTTCCTGGATTATGTGGCCAGGTCACAGGCTTCTGCGGGAGCCTTCTTGATCATTAGATCAAAACTTGGCACGGCACTGCAAAAATTTCCTGGAAGTGGTAAGTGTGCACGTTATGCTTTGCACACTTTCTAAAGTTCACATAGGTGGTAAGTGTGCATGGTATGCTTTGCCCAATTTCTAAAATCCACATAAGTGGTAAGTGAGCACGTTATGCTTTACCCACTTTTCTGAAATCCTGTATGGTAAGGGTTACGCGTTATTAGCCTCGTTCCCTTTTTCTGAGTTGGTTTAGACCCCGGTACTCGCCTTGGGCTCCACTCAACCAGAGAGTCTCTGTTGACACACTTTTGAAGCATCGCTCCCCTCACCATTGAGGGTTATTGTGAGCATGGTGCTTTCTTTCGAGCGTTATGCTTCAGACACGGGTCACGACGAGGCATTCCCCATAGCGACCCCTAGAGGACGCAGTGTCTCGTTCCCTACGTTCCCATACGTAACCTGAGACGTTTTCGCCAGGGTGTTACTATGCAGTTTTTAAGGTGCTCTGAGTAGTTTCAGCATGTTGCTTTGTGGTTGCTAGGGTGTGACTTCTTACTACTGGCTTAAGTTATAAAATAGAGATCACCTCCAAGTTTCTATGACATTCTGAAACATAGATATGGGTACTGCAATGATTTTGTGTATCTTTGTAGCATTTTAATTTAGAATAGAGTTTTAATAAATTAATAATAATATAGAATTTTAATATATTAATTATAAATAACATTAAATTTAAATACATTTAAGTCATCTTGCGGACCCCTTGGAAGCTTTCTGAGGCCCTCTACACTGTAAAAAAAAATATTTTTTGAAGTTGTAAATAAAACAAAGCTTATTGGATTATGTTTTACAAGAAAATACTATTTCAGTCTTTCTACTTTAAAATTTTATGGTTAATTGATTGCCATTTCTTGGTAGTTAATTGTGAGGTTTACTAAGAATTTCTGAGTGAAAATGGTTCCTACACCAAACGTTTTTTTCAGTGTAGTTGAAAACCATTGTGCTAGTTTAATACTATGGTTAGCAGTTTGTTCAAGTTCCCAAGTCTAAATACAAACAATAGTTATAGTGATGTTAACAAACACTTTCAATAAAATTAATCATCATTTCAAACTTAAAAATTCTGTTTCACTTCATTTGACAGAAGTTAAATGTGAATGCCATTTCATGTTGTTTCTAAACCTCCTTTTAAACCTTTTTAAGTAAGTCCAGAAAGTAAACTGGACTTGTAAACAAATCATTTCAAAATTCTCTGTAGATTTTAAACATGGTGCTCAAAGCCCAATAGGTGCTGGACCAAACCTCTGTCCTCATTTAGCAGAATAGTTCTAATAAAAGCCCTTCTGCTTCTCTTCACCTACTTGATAGGCTCTGTAGGGTCAGCTCTCTTGGCTCGCTTTTCAGCTGATAGTTGCTCCCATTTAAAATGTAAACTCCAGTCAAAGCCTGCAGCAGAGATAGAGAAAGAGAAAGGGAAGGAGAGAGGGAGATCAATGAAGATTTTTTTTGCTCTAATTTCTTGTAACTTAAATTTTATAAATCATAACTATACACCGCAGTGGCAGTGATAATTAAAGTGTACTGCCGATGATAGGCCGAGGCTTTCATCACAGCTAATTGTTAGATTTGTTTCTGTGTGACACTGCTGATTGGCGCCTCTTGATGTTGGTGGTGGGACAGCGAATGAAGGATTATAATTGTAGCTTTTACCTCCTCGCAAGTCAGAGGAAGCGGCGACATAGGCAAACGTGTCCATATTAATGATGTCAATCACAGGGCTGGCGACACAGGTCGGGTCCTGAAAAATGAAAATATTACAAAATGAAACAAAAGAACACAAGAGATTTAATAAGGAATGTGAACGGCTCGACTCTCTGTGTGTTCAGCTTGATTTCACAACAAAGGAGGTGGAAAATCAGCGAGCGTTGGGATTATCTGTGTTACTAAGAGCGAGTGAATGTGCACACACTCTCGTCCAACATCATTACACCAGACGCTCTGACCTCATCGCTCAACTCTCTCATGCCTCACAATACTGTCCTGCTGAAAGAAAAGAATACTTGAGATGTGTCAGCACTACTGGATTTTCAAACTACTTCAAATTGCTTATGAAATGCATTTTGAAAAAATGTGATTTTGTGAAATTTGTTCTGGGTTTTGTTAACGTCTGTAATGATTGTGAATAAAGTCACCATTTTTTGTGGTGAAAAACATCTTTTTATTTTTTTTGTGATATGTGCTGCTAGCAGTTTTATATGCACAAAATCTTTCAAAAGTTTTTAAATAGATTTTTTTTAGTTGAAATATGCTGCTAAAATACGTCAAATAACAGTTCTGCTAGCAGACAGTACAAAGCATCAGGATATTCATGCATGTGCTTGGCAAGTGGTGCTGCATTCAGTGCCGCCTCCGTTCTGCCTGCTGACTCTCTTCTATTGAAAATAAACTGAAAAACAAGACAGTTGCACAGAATCCAGGTAGAAATGCTCAATAGACTATTGACACAATATGAATAAGTATAAAATTGTACCTCTTTGACCCTCTGCAGCAGTGGAGGCAGCCAATCTTTGTTGACCTCACAGTGACTGTCCAGAAAGGTCAGGATCCCGGCTCCTGCAGCTTCCGCCCCGCGAACCCTGGACCGGATCAGTCCTGCGACACACACGCGCACACACATAGATCAGGGACACTGGAGAATTCACTGTCCGTCCGAGCTGCACATTACATCTGTTGAGAAGCCTGTTAAACTGACAAATACTCTCATCTCAACAATCTCATTCACAGAAAAAGATACGAGAAGAGCCATTTAAATCTGATTAGTTGAAGGGACAATTAAAGCCTTATGGTTATTATCGAATCAGAGCAAGAAGCTTTTCCATGAAGGCAAGGCTGTTAAATTGGTAGAGCCTGATTGAGGATGCATAATAATTGTAAACGTGCAAGACTCGTGCAAAGTTTCACGCTGCACGGCAACTTCAGCCAATTAAAAATCCCATTTCATCCTCAATAAGGCTGTATTTTCCAGATGGGTGAGCGCACCCTCTACAGAGTTGTTGAGAGCAGGCTGTGTTTGTGTGTGCATGCATATTGGGCCAGTGTGGCCCCTCTGTGTATGCGCTGGGCAGATGGAGAAGGAAAGAGAGAGCGAGAAAGACAGACAATGAAAGAGAGAGCGAGAGAGTGAGTGAATGAGAGAGATTACATTCACCTACAGCTAATAGAGTTAACATAGCAGAACCGCACACCCTGTTTGTAGCTCCGGGACGACAATAGGGTTTAAATGCCTTAAACCTTTTAACAATTTTCTCTTGTACAGAGTTGGCTGCACAGGGGTTTTATGCATTAATCAATGCTGTCTAAGCGACAATGTGTGACAGTGTGTAATGGAACCTCGGAGCACTGGAATAAACAGGGAGGGGGCAGCGACTGGATGATCATTACTAATAAGAACTTTGAATTTTTCTTGGCAATGATGACTGACTATTACATTATTATTCTTATTAATGTTATCATTATTATTGCTGCTTGCTCATACTTTGGTTTAGGGAACAAACCCTAAGCACTGATATGAAACTTTTGTGCATAACTAGCTAGGGACGTGACCAGTGTTGGGGAGTAACTAGTTACATGTAACGGCGTTACGTAATTTAATTACAAAATAAATGTAACTGTAATCAGTTACAGTTACTAAGAAAAAATGTGTAATTAAATTACAGTTACTTATGAAAATGTTAACGATTACAAAGGGGATTACATTTGAATATTTACACACATCCACATACAGATTTAATTGATTTCTTTCCCAAATTGCACTGATCTGTAGTAAAAATAAATACAAATGGTAATCCATTTGCAAATAAAAAAAAAACAAAGGTTAATTTTTGTAAGGGAAAAACATGACTCATGTTCAGTATTAGGATTTTTCTATAAAGATATTGTAGTGATGTAGTTTTGTTAAACCTTCCCAACACTGGACGTGACTGATTAGCTTATTTGCAGCTTATTTAGAAGAGCTGTGCTATTACTTTTCTAAGTGATTGGGCTTGGCCTGGCAGATGATGAAATTAGAAACTAAATCCAACAGACTTAAAATGAGGGAAGGATTCAAGCTTTATCTAGGGAGCAGTATATCATAGAGACTTTCATAGGGGACTTTTGACCACCTAGCAAACCCTCAGAACCAGCATTATCTAAAACTATTAAAAATTGTTTATGGTAATTAATAAAGCTGGAATAAAATAAAATACTATTATTAGAAGAAAAAACTTGAACTTAAAAATACCAGAAAACAAAACTTTAAAATGTTGCCTTGGCAACTAACTGAAATAGGTTTATAAATAAGCTATTAAAGCTACATAGAATTACTAAAGCTTGAACTAAAATAAAACCTGAAAATATAAAAAATTATGAAAAAGCTCAAGATACTCAAAATATTAATAAATACCATAATAATATACAGTACAAATAGCAACACCCTGCATCCATCCATAACACTGTGGAGAGTTGTATTGTTGCATCATGACCGTGGATTTTGAATGAGAAAGCCTTGCTCATATTACCTTCAGAATGTATGAAAATCTAGTTATTAACGTCTGAATGCATTTCGGCCCAGTGACATTAAAAGCATAGTGCTAATAAACTAAATGAGAAATTTAAATCCAAATTGGACATTGAAATTTATGTAAAGCTTCACCTGCTTCATTTACCAAAAAGGTAACCAGCCATAAAGATAACTTAACCTTTTAACATCCATAATGTTGTTAAACCATGTTAATGGGATTTCATTAAATATTAAGTAGCCATTTTAACCAAAGTCAATCTCTAAGGGCTCGGACAGCCATTCCAAACAACGGCCAGCATAAAATCTGCCACAGGCTGTACAGCAGTGGCAAAATCAATATTTGCTATAACGGTTTAAGACCAATGTTTTCAGTTAGATGCACACCAAAATGCTCTGCTTACAAATGGATTTTTAAATGTTTGTTTTTTTATCACGAGTGTAATGTGTATGCGAGCTGTTTGCAAACTAATCCATGCCCTCTCATGTTCAATATATCTGTTCATCTGAATGGAAAGATACGGATGACAGTATGAGTGTGTGGTGGCAAAACTGTATCTGCTCTGTTTTCCACCTGTGCAACTGGTACATGTAAGGAAGTGTGAAACACTGGCCAGAGTTTCAGTCTATGTGCAGTAATCTTCCTCACAGTCTGTTCACCGTCACCCTCCCAGTAACGCACCACCTGCTGTTAAAACACTCACCAGCACACGGGCGAAAAGCAAACAGCTGCTTTTAGAGTCTGGATGGTATTACAAACAGGCATGTTGCCAGCCCAAAACGAAATATTTTATTCATAGGGAGAGGGAGAGAGTGACAGAGACGTCATCACTGGCCTACCTTCTCTGTGTTTATTACGAAGACACTTTACTTTGGGCAACTTGGTGAGAAGAAGGCAGTCATTTGCTGAAAGTAAAAAATGATTCAAATGCATTTATTTATTTAAAATATTTATCAAATGCATTAATTAAGAGTGCATTCATGACATTAGAATATGAATTTGTACTTTTTCTAACATATAAATTCAAAAATGCTATAATGCACAGTACTCACGATCTTCGCTGAAATCGTCTACCAGTATGACTTCATAAATCAGATGCACAGGAGTCCGATTCAACACACTGAAGAGAAACAGAATTAAAACAGTTAGAACTGCTGTACAGCTAAATAAAGCCCGTAATGGATGTTTTTATAGGCTATAAAATGATCAAATTTATCTTTTATTAGGTCTATATCAAATTGTTTTCTGTAACTGAAATAAAGCTGAAATAAAATTACGCAATTAAACATTACGTTTTAAATTTAAACACAAAAATCTTAAATGAAAATTAGAAATGTTACTTTGGCAAGTAACAAAAATAAATTAGTTTAAGTACTAGCTACAATTTACAAAAAAGTGAAATAAGTATAAATTAAAGCTAAATACACATAACATTTTAAACTAAAATGAATTAAAAAATCCAAATAAACACTGTAACTGTATATAGATAATACTAAAATACCACAGGCCTACATACATATTCATACACATTTTTATTTAAAATACAGAAACTGTAATCATAATGGCTAGTTTATTCACATATAGAAAGTTGTCATTCGGAAAATTCTCAAATAATTATTTGCAAGGAAAAATAATTGATCAGATACTTAAATTTAATTTCAGAACAGGCACCATAAGTGCTGAGTGCTGAGTTCTTTATGGGTCACTATTCACATTCAATTTAACATCATTACATGAGATCTATTTCTGGAGAGATAAGTCTTACTAGCTACCAAAATTGAATTATTAATAACTAATTTGTTATACTTTTCAGCTAACTATCCTCAATCTATTAAAGAATATAATGCATAATACTGTAAAACAGTACCACAAAAAAGATGTGCAGATACCACAAAAAATGTGCTTACAAAATGCCCAGAGATGAAAAGGCAGTTATGTTGTTAGTCAGGTATGGAGGGAGACACTGGGGCTGCATTGCTGTGGAGTTGAAGAGCACAGACCTCCTCTAAACCTCTTTTCTTTGTCCTTACACTAGGTGACTGATTGCGTTGCACTCACGCTCACAGGTATGCTTCCACATGTCTGAGTCAGTGAGACACATTCATCACAGTTCTCCCCTGTACAGCACATGCGCACAGATACAAACGCTCGCTCACATATACACAAGTAAACACAAGCACAATTCAAATTCACTTTGCATCTCTACAGAGCTGTAGTATCCTCATATTTCCCTCAATCACCTCACAAAAAACCTTTCTTCCCACAAGCAGAAATAGAAAATATAGTGCCTATAGAAAGTATAGTACAAGTCCAATATAAGCTCCTGCATCATCACAAAATTGTATTTGCAATGTTTCAATCAATCAACCTTCCTCAGGCTTACCTGGCTTCACTCAAACAGGGAATTTTTTAACAATCGAAACATTTTACATATGCTACATGGAAATAAAGACTTTTCATTGAGACATTTTTGCTTTCAAGTGACAGTTACTTTGCACGCTGATTTATTTTGATTGAAGTATTAATTTGGAATACTGTCCCTCTTATCATTTTACACCTGCTCAAAGACTAATTACAAATCAAAGCACTTTTAACACCAATTTCTGCTGCTGTTCCCTATCAATGCTGTACTGACTGCGAAAGTGAATGTCAGTCTATTGATTTTTGGTTTTGTTGGTGGCTTTGTAGGAGCAGGGTAGCGCATTGGCTTTGATGCCCATCTAAAGCATTGAAGCCTATCTGAACCATAAAACCGGGTCAGAAAACAGAAAATGTGGCTCTGAATTGTGCTTTATTTGGTAACAGTTACTGAAAAAAGTTACTATGTCAAAGCAGTTACATCACATTTACATGTATGCATTTTGCAGACACTTTTATCCAAAGCTACAAAAGCAATTTATACAATGCAAAGTGTATTAGACAACAATTACATGAGATTCTTTTAAGCTAAAAGAGTTTATTGATATAAAAATATCCTGTAACTTTCAAAACTTCCTTCTGATTCCCAAAAAGGCCATTTAATCCAAAAGTTGTAAAAATGGCTTTTTCTGAACTAACAATTTAAATGGACAAGTGGAAGGAAAAAAAGATATGATATGACCCCAGTAATTTATTGCCATCTTGAAAGATATAAAGTGTCTCCTCCTTAATTTATTGTATAAAATGGTGATAGCAGCTATATAATAAATTAAACATTCTGAATAAATAATTCTTCAACAACAATTTATCTAGTAAGTTAGCATAAACTCTCTGCTGCCTTCGGATGCAAATAATGCAACATAGCAGCTTGCCATCCATCACATTGACACAAGAATGTTAAAAGTTTCTTCAAGGCCCTTCTGGCAAATCAATTCACGTCCTTTCTCATCCATTTCTTGAACTGCTTTTTTTGTAGTCTACAGTAGGAATTGCTCATCTTCAGACAGGAGGAAATAGTGCCTTTGTTGCAAGGACATCGCCAAGGTCTGCCTATACCTACATCCGCCTATACCTGAGGGGTAAAGAAAAGCAAACAGCCTCTCCGCATGCCTCCTCTCACATCTCTCTCGCTCACTCTCCTTTGCCTGATAAGTAGCCGCAAGGAGAGACTGAGGAAACCAGGAAATGCTCCAGAAAGTTCTCTTCCACCTCTCAGGACTCCCCTGTAGTAATAACCTCTGTCAGCAGCAACACCCATCAAAAACTGCCTGGGGCCTACACTTCAAACCCACTCTGTGTAAATGCTTAGTCTATGAGAGCATTCATGTGAAGAGATGTTTGTGTGCGTTCATGTGCATGAGAGATAGAGAATCCCCACATAGGGAAAAGGTCATAGAAAGATAAGGTTTAATACTGCTTTGCCATCAAGGTGTCTGAGCATATCTAGTCAGTCAACACAACAGGATATTTTGACGTCATTATCGGAGCTGATGTTAAATGGCTGGTAACTTTAACAAAGGTTCAGGGTTAAAGCAGGGCAGAAGTCATTTCTGCTGTGTACGGGAGCTACCGTGACTAATGTGTGATGAGAGTAGTTTAGATTCCACACACTCCAGGGCGAAACACCTCACACCACATCCCTTCATTGCAGCCTCAGGAGCCAAACTGCACCTGGACACTGTTAACGCTTCAAAAACAGTTTTTGACTTAATCTAACAAAAACATACCAAAATTAAGTTATATTAAAATTTTCATATTATAGTTAGAATACAGAAAATGCATCAATATTGCACTGACACTTCAGGTGCTTAAATCAATATATTTTTTATTCATATATTAATTTTTATCCTTTTCACAGCTCAAGTAATGTAACAGCAAGTCATCTAAAAAAGAGTGAACTCAGACAGAATTGTGACAGACATTGTGATGTGTATTGTATCATTGGGTATTTGGCAACACCCAGCCCTAATATTTCTAGAACCATTATGAAAATGAAGCCTATCCATGTGAACACTGAGATGATTTCACATTGTGACATTATTTTCATGAAAATTCATAACAAACTCAGTTTCTCATTACTGAAATAAGTTTTTTTTTTATTTCTTTCAACACAAATTTAAGACAATATAAATTAAAAGTAAAATTAAATGTTGTAATGTAGATTTATCATTATTATTTTTATTATGCATTATGGTTTAGAAAATGGGGATAATAATGTCTCAATGCAATAAAATAAATCAAGTGATTAAAAAAAATTGGCTTAATTTTCTTATACAGAATATACTATATGGTATACATGTGTGTAGTCCTAAAAATAGGCTTCACTTTTATGTATATATATATATATATATATATATATATATATGTGTGTGTGTGTGTGTGTGTGTGTGTGTGAAATAACTGTTTAGGAACTGATGATTAATGTACTCTTAGTCTCTTGTGGCCTTTTCTAAGCTATATTGACATGTGCCTTGCCCTAGGGCTACAGCAAGACTTACTCAGTGCTCTATCAACCTACAGTAGGTCAAAGGTCAAGACTGAAAGTGAAGTGGGTTTTTTAACATTGAAAGGGTAAAAACATCTGCACCAACACAGTCAGAAAAAAAAAATGCAAATAATTGTACCTCTGGGTAGCTTGCTACTGGGTCATTAATTTGTACCTTATCTACCCTAAAAGGCTCATATTAGTACTTTAGAATAATAATATGTTCCTTTAAGGTACTACTATGAACCTTTTATGGATAAATAATGTACAAAGTAATTCCTTAGAGAATACTACCTCAGTGACAAACAGTCATATCCCTAAAGGTGCAATTTTTGCACATTTTGTCTGAAAGTGAATAAGGCAATAATAAGGAATAAGGAAATAATAGTACCCAGTTTTATGTAGCTCAATGGGGGCTAAAAGCTACATGTTTTCTTTGTGACACAAAAGGAAAGGGAAAAAATATGCATAGTGGCAGCATATGAGAATGGAACTGATGTATTTAAGTCTTACCTCCGAACTGTGCGCAGCAGGGTAGATCGTGCCTCATTGTGAAACGTGATCACTATGGTAGTGGATGACAGGTCGAGGTCATAGTGCAGTGTTGTACACCTGGGAGAGACAGGAGCGAGTCAAAATAATGAGACTCTGTGGTACTAATTAAGCATCAAGTTTAATGTGTGGCAAAACCTTTGCTGAATTTACACCTACTTAATAATTAAACGTGTTGGAGGTCAAGTAATCTCTTAGCATATGGTGAACAGCAACTGCTGAAATGTGTAAAGCGAGTGTTTTTGAGGTGCTTTAGTATCCAGTCAGCACTTAAGGATAAACAACATAAAACATGGGCCATGGTTAAGAGAGATGTTGCCTGTGTTAATAGGCCAACAGCACCCTGTTGTGTGGAGGAAGAGGGAACATGTGGTTAGAATGGAAAGGACAGCAGGCAGAACCCAGAGGAGCGAAAGCATCAATAATGGAGGATCTGATTAAAAATAAATAGAATTTTCACTTCACCCCAACAGCAGAAGGAGTGGGCCAGTAAAAAGCACTTTGTTTTGAGGATGAACATTCTGACTTGCGGTAAACACCAACCATTACCCTGCAGTGCTCCACCTCAGAAATACCGGATTTTGGTTGTAAAGAGTGTCAGTGGACAAGAAAAAACTAAAGATCAAAATGACCAATTCAGTATTATGTGATAAAGTATACATAGCCTTCCCGGCTTAAAACATAAAACTACTGTAACGACTACTGGAAAATGGAAAAAACAGGTTACCCACTGAGCCATTTGGCCTTGGTGTATGAGAATAGCATACAGAGAGTAAAAACAGACCGAGGATAGCCTTTGTAGGGAGCTTGTGTCCTCAATTCAGACAGGATGGGGTGCTCCCAAATTATACACACATTTGTTCTTCAACAATCTTTTTCATTTTCACAAAGATGGAGAGAAATACATCTGACCTTCAGGATGGGGTGCAAGATGATCTCTAGAAACAGGCCTATTTTAGAAATTGTTGTTCAAATTGTCATTTCAGTTAATACACTTTTTTTTATGAAAGACATTGTTACGCTTTGGCCACTCATTGTAATGAATCATTGTAAGAGAGAGCGATGTAATGTTATCTAAACATTTAAATATGTCCTATTTGTAAATGAATATTTAAAATTCATTGTTTTTATACTGTAGTTTTATAATTTAACATTTGTTGTTTTAATTAAAGTGAATGAATGAATGAATTACATCACTCAAAATTGCTTCATATGACAAGTAGTTTCCATCAGTTTTTTTATTTTAAAAAAGGTTTTGATTAATCTTGGAGCTACTGTTTTGGTTCATGACTGAGGGCTCTTTAAAGAAGACTTCTTGGGAATGGGAAAAAGTTAACATTTCCAGAATCAATGGTACTTAAAAAAAAGTGGACAGTCATTGTTGTGCTCTATTTTATGGCTTTTGTAAACATTAAGCATAATAAAGCATTACCTTTACACAAGCCTCATGTAAACCCACTATTCAAACCTTCTTAAATTAGTTATATTAGAAGCAGCATACTTGCATCATAATCACCCAAGTGAATGTATATTTAATTTTGGGCTCAATATGGCTTGCTTAATTAATGGCTCTGTTTCAACCTGGTGAGCTGCCTTGCTGTCTGCTGCCTACACAGGCAGTCTTACAAATAGTGTTTCTCACGCAAACCACATAGAGGATACTGGACGCAAAACTTCTTTCAAAAAAGTTTACCGTTAATATGTAACTATAGTTAAACAAGTAAATAGTTTATAGTTAACTATTTACTTTAAACTTTTTAACTATAAACTTTTTAAGTTTATAGTTAAACGGTAAACAAATTAGAGATGATTGTGAGCTTATAAGCTCACAATCAAACTCTAATAAGCATAACATACAAAACATATACAAATATTGGGGCAAAATGGTCAATTAGTTATCCAAGTTATGCTGCCTAGCTTTTGGAAGACTTCCTGGCTCTCCTAATACCTATGTGATAGACAGTTTTACATCTCTGCTCGGGATTTTAGATCCCCTACTGTCCCCCTGAAACAAGGCGTCCCCCAGGGTTCCGTTCTTGGGCATTTGCTGTTTATTATTTATATTTTACCATTGGGTCAGATACTACATGACTTTAGCTATCATTTTTATGCTGATGACATTCAAATTTACACGTAATGCAGGCCTTCCCTATCCACCCAAATTGATAAAATTTCTGTTTGCGTGCAGGATATAAAACATGGCTTAAGTCTAATTTTCTGAAACTTAATATGGATAAAACTGAGATCATCATTATTGGTACCCCATCACTTACCACCAAAGTTCCCGCTGACTTTACTTGCAATATCACTGGCACTCTAATTGCTCCATCTAGTATCGTCAGAAATCTCAATGTTATGTTTGACTCCTCTCTTTCATTTCAGTCTCATATTAACTCTCACTAAATCAGCTTTCTTTCATTTACGACGAATTGTCCAGCTCCGTCCTTTCATTAGTGCCAACGATGCAGAAACTCTCATCCATGCTTTTGTTTCATCTCGTCTCGTCTACTGTAATGCCCTTTTCATTGGTTTACCAGCTACCTCCATTGCTAAATTACAGTATATTCAAAATTCAGCCACAAAATTCAGACGTCCCTCGGTATCGCCTCTCTTCCATGGGGGGCAGATCATTTTGTGTTGTTGCCCCTAAATTATGGAACTCTCTTCCCAAATCGCTCTGTCTTGCCAATAACCTGTCTGAATTTAAATCGCTGCTCAAAACTCATTTGTTTTCACAATGTTACCTTTCTTAAGTTGACTTGTTTATTCTGTTTTATGTTGTCTTATTCATATATTACTCTCTGGATGTCTGATGTTCTCTTTACGTTACTTTCTGTATTATTGTTTGATTGTTTGATGTTATCCTCACATTTCTGATGTTTATTGTAAAGTGTCCTTGAGCTCTGGAAAGGCGCTATATAAATAAAACTTATTATTATTATTATTATTATTCGCATCACGGACCTTGTGAATGATGTTTTGTAAAGCTGCCTACATAGGCAGTTCACATGGTTTTGAAACAGAGCCAATTTGTCTGGAAAGCCTGCTATTGAAAAAGTGTAAACTGACTGAAATTGACTGTTTACTGCATTAGCAGAGTGTACAGTAATTTAGGCCTTTTCCATCTTTTTTTCACTCTAATGCGATAATTTAAATATTGAGTCAAACTGTGAAATAACGTGATATAGATTTCACCAATCATTAGACAAGCCAGAGCCTTTAAAATGGTTTAATCAGAGAATCAGCGCTCGGTTGGAGGAATACATATACTGTAAAGTGCAGATGTATTTATGTTTTATGACAAAACTTTTGGGGGTTAAACAGTCATGATAAATTGGAATCAAGTACATATATATTCCTGCTTTGCTTATTCATGAATACAGTTAGATCAGCCTTAAACACACTTTATGAGCTAAGGGCTGTGTTCACAGCTTTATATGCTGTTTGAAGCCTCTACTGAAGGCAGCCTGGGAGCGGGATCCATCGCTCAATGCAGCTATAGCCCAAGGTCTTTTGAGATAGGGGGATGCTTTAAACAGCAAAACACAGAACATCATTAGAGTTTCTGTCAGAAAACAACATCTGGGAGAGGGAAAGCATATTGCTGTGTACTTGATATTTCGCCAAAATGATGAGAAAATTGGGAACTGGGAATGTGGTCTTAGTGTTTCTCATTATGATGTATCCAACTCAGTTTCCTTGAGATTGGTACTGCTGGACAAAAATCACAACATAGCCTCACCAATAGAAATACTGCATATGACAAATAGGAAAAGGCAGTAAAAGCTAATGAAATATCTGCTCTACTGAGTAATTGCTTTGCATATGTTTTATTGTTTATTATATACAGAACAATGATAGGACCCGATGAGGAAGTTTATCTCAAAAATATGCATTCATGTCTCAGATTCTCTGTGGAGATGCAAACGTCCTTCAGGTGCTTCTTTTGTTATACACACAATAGGATGTCTAAGAGCTCTAGGGAACCGAGTGACACTGTTTCAACCTTGGCAAGCCGGAAAGGCCCAGGAGACAGCATGTCTTTCGTTAAGCTTGAGCTACAATGAAAATTAAACATGCTTACATGCAGTAGATGGCCCAAAATATCCAAAGACCTCCAAAAAGAAGCAGTTTTGTCCATTTTATTGATAAGGCACTGGAGACCTAACAGGAAACGAGAGGGAAAACTGGAGAGATCATGGTTTCTCGAGTTGATAATGAGCATGAGATCTTTGGTTTTAAAGGGCCTGTGCTTGATTTGGAAGGATGCTGGTGTGAGTGCACTGTTTAATTGGCTACTGCTGATGATCTGAGTCACTTCCTCTCAGGAATGCCACATGCACATGCCCATCATCACTCAGCAGTGGGAGTAGATACAGGGTGGTTGACTCTAATTAGAAGAAAGAATGATGCTTCTCTAATATGAAGCCTAAAATGCAAGTCATAAAGGCGTCAATGAAATACTGTCAATCATGCTGCTGGAAGGAATTAATTAAACAGCAATTCTTTCAAACATATTGCTAATTATAACAAAACAAAAGAATTTCAGTGTTTTGTCCTTTGTGAGTAAATGCACATGTGACATGTCTCCTCAGTTTTTTTAGCCAAGTGGATTTTGAATGCAGTTTCCAAAAGACAAAAAATAGCTGAATAATATTTTTTATATTTCATACAATCACACCTGCGTGATTAGAACGTGCAGTGTGGCACAGCATCAGCTGCTAAATTCAAATCTGCTGTCACTGGCTGGCGCCGAGCCAGAGACAGACGCGTTTTGGCAGCGCTGCACATTATAACCAATCACACATAATTCTGTTGAGCTTATGAATGCAATGACCAATGAGAGGCATTCAGATGAGTCATCGCTGAAATGCCGGTGTTTTGTTCACTCGCTCGCTGAAGGAATTCTGCTCTCTGACAAATTCTCTTATCAGAAACAACAAAGTGCAGATGTGCGTACGATGTAAGTAGGATATTGATTTCACAGTGTAAACAGCTTCAGTGATTATAATGAGAGTTTTTGAGAGTACTTAAAATGTTCTTTGATCCTGTAAATGTTC